TACAGTTTCTCATCCACCACCTCACTCATCTTCCTTCCCTCTCACGATTGCCCTAAACTACACACACAATTCAGCACATGTGCATATCCTTCATGAATCTCGATTGTACAATTCAATCTCTGCCAAAATCCACAGCTGTAAAAGAGATGTAGAGAAGCTTCATAATATCTCATTCCTATTTGAAGGCCCCACTCATTTTCTATCACCTGCCCATACCTCTTACTTCCATATCTTCTCCTATAAACAGAGAAGAGATTCAACAGCTATTAGAATTGTTTTCCCCATCTCAAACCCAGTTCCTTGTACCTTCTCTTTCTCCAATGGAAAACCAACTCAAAAGCTCCCTGATCACCACCGATTCCAGTTGAAGCAAACCTCTGACCATAAACAGGCCTGTAGCCGCAGCTTACCAGTGAAAAAGAAGCAGCGACTACTTCCATTTTCCCCTCCTGCCTTCATTTGTTCGACTATCAAACAGCTTCCGCACATCTTTTCCTTGCTCCTCCATCGACCTCAGGTAAATTCCTTACCTTCTCTGATCAAAATTCGTCCAGCAACCACCGTGAACATTAGGCACCTGCCATGGTGGCCGGTGGCCTGAACCGTTCTAACCGGACGATCCCGTTGGCGGGTTTGGTTTTAGTCAAGTGTGTAAAATTCCTGATTCCATTATTTTTCTGCCATGTGACGTCTAGGTCGACTCCAAGATTCCCGTTCCAAATCCCGCTTAGAACAGGAGCTTCCCGACACTTCCGACTCTCAAAATCAACGTGAGTTCTATGGCCCCTCATTTCTGATTTCATTGTTTGGGGGAGAATACATGTTTTATTGGTCAATATTTGATAACCAAAATGGACTTAAACAAACGATTTTGGATTATATAAATTGCTATAGATGGTGTATGAATACGTATGAAGAGAGTTGACGAATTAATATGGCATTGAGTTTTGAAACCATGGTTATAAACAAGTGCAGGAAATGTAAATACATATATATAAATATTCCGTGTAGCTTTTTCTGAAAATTTATGATAACTAAAGCGATATAAATACTTATACAAAAGCATATATATATATATATATATATATATATATATATATATATATATATATATATATATATATATATATATATATATATATATATATATATATATATATATGAAAAGGAAATAAACTTAAAAATACACCTGGAGGATTAAATGGTCATAGTTATATTATATTAATACATTAGAATTTCTAATATGTGTAATAACTATTAAGGACTTTGGATCGTATTAAAACAATAATCATGTTAAACTTAACATGATATAAACTTAAGTGAATAATTATATATAGACATCAGTTTTAGTAAATTATGGAGTTAACCCTAGTATATTAAAGGTTAATGTGGTTTGGTTACGTTATAAAAGTTGGTATAAAAGTCGTTAGAAATAAATACTTATCGAGTCTTACATTTAAAGACTTTATCATTATTCCAAAATTTGAACGTATTAAAAATAACCTCGCATGGGTTATATAAAAGATGGGGAATGTAGGTTCCCGGTCGATCCAAACTTAGATAAATAAAAACAAAATTAACTATTATGTTAACACGATATCAAATTCGTACCTGGAATAATAAATTCTTGTAGTTTTAAGAATTCCGAGTATCGTTTTCTTAAACGGCGAATAACTTTGTGTTTCTAGTGAATTTAGAATGAACAACATAGGTTCATTATACCTATCGTTTGTGGGTTTATTATACCCATTTTGCATAGGTTCATTATACCTATTCTTTGTGGGTTCATCATACCCATTCCGCATATGTTCATTATACCTATTCTTGAGGGTTTATTATACCCATTCCAAATAGGTTCATCATACCTATTCCCAATACCGAACCCAATCAGTTCGAGTATTCATATCCGGTTTCACAAGGGCTAAGTTCACAATACTTAGTAGAGACCTTCCGTCAAATAACCGTTAATCCTCGAGGGAACGACTAACGCTAGGTATAAGTGTCATAACATTGATCTTATACGGTACGACCGCCCGCCTGGAGTTGCTAGCTACAACTACGTCTGACGAGATGAATTTTGGTGTTGGCGTTAGCATTATCGAACATTACCTCGCGTTATTACGAGGTGAATGACTTTAGCATGCGCGCCCTATCATGGTGTCGGTGCAAAAATAAAGTTTAGTGTCAAGAGTTCGGTTATGACATCATCTAATATTCCTTCGTTCTTAAATCAATAAAAACGACCACCGACAATATAATTATCATATGGAAATTGACAAAGAGAGATTTCTACTAAGTTGTTTCAACACATGCAACAGTAAAATAATAATTTTTGGTGAATTGACAAATTATCTTTTGAAAGGGGCAAAGATTTCTATCTCAACGTTAAATTATTTTTTTATGGAGACCTTTTGTTATTTTAAGAATATATGGAGTCAAAACCTGTAGGACTCACCAACATTATTGTTGACGTATTTTAACATGTATTCTCAGGAAATTAAAGCAAGAAATTCACGCGAGGAGTATGGAATCATCGTCTTATATTTTTGTTCTAAATTATGTTTTATGTCCTCTTTTTGAATCGTTGAAGATTTGTCATGAAACATGTAACAAAGTAAGATATGATTATGTCGTATGCGATGTAAAACTTTATGTGGTTGTTTAATGTTTGATATATGCTATGTTTGTGATATTCGAATTTCGTCACCCACCCGGTGTTTCCGCCATTGGCTGGGGGTGTGACATAAAGTTAGAAACTTTACGTAATATATCGACCCTAGGGAACCAGATCTATGACTTGGATGCATTAAGATCGAATAGAAACGACTGTATGGATTTAGACTATAGGGGACTCGACGAGTTGTTCATACAACTCGGCGATTTGAGTCGTGGTCCCCCAACCTTTTTTTGATTACTGAGTAAACTCGTTGAGTCTAGGAGATGACTCAGCGAGTTGGACATGTTTTGGGCTTGAAGATTGAAGAACTCGATGAGTTTAAGGCGGAACTCGGTGAGTTATGAGCAAATTATCCCGACTCTGTATGAAGGAGAACTCGTAGAGTTCAAGGAGGAACTCAGCGAGTTGTGAGTAAAAGGTTCTGACTATATTATAATGAAGAACTAGATGAGTTCATGAAGAACCCCACAAGTAGGATCGAGATTTCAGGGTTCTATGGATTATGGAACTTGACGAATTGATGGACTAACTCGGCGAGTTAAATCAACCACGATGTTGACTGTGACTTTGACCATTGACCAGAGCTAACCCTTAAAGGGGTTATGAGTATAAAAGGGTAATTTGAGTTTTGGTTTTGGTTTCAGGTACTTCTGGTAACAAGCGGAAGGGCTCAGGGTGATTGCAGTGCACACACCATTTGTTTAGCATGCGATGTTTATACTCTGATATATATGACAGATGTTTATGATATTTTTGAGATACACAACTTATGATTTTTATATGATGTTTGATAACTATGGTTTCTTAATGATTTAAGATGAAATTTTTGGACTATAGTTTTGGGACGTTTCAAAGAGATAGAGATTTCCTTTGGGAATGAGAGTATGTCCCTACGGGGTAAGAGAGGATGATTCCTTTTGGGAATTTAGATAGATGACTCATGCGGAAATCTGGATTATGTATAGCTAGAGAAGATAGAGAAAGATTCCTTGAGAGGAACAAAAGAATAAAGTTCTTTATAAGAACTTAGAGATAATCCGTGAGGGATTAATAGTAATAAATCCATGAGAGGATTTAATAAGAGAAGAAATTTTAAGGATCTACGAGAGATCATAAGAGAGAGAGAGGGGGGGAGAGAGAGAGAGAGAGAAGTATGACCGGATGGGAATACCCAATAATGTATTGAGATGTTGTTTCCCTTAGAAGATATATATGATAAAGTATGAGATATGACTATTGGGTCTAAATAAGAAAAGAATGTTGAGGCACTCGAACTGAGGATAGAGAAGAGAACGAGTAGAGTAGAGAAAGAGCAGAGAATAGACAACGTAAAGAAGAGAGAAAGTTAGATATAGAGATAGAGTATGAGAAGAGTATGAGAATGGGCTAAAAAGGAGTATGAGAAACGGAATAGATGATAGAGAAAAAGATATATGAGATGAGTAAGAGTAGAAAGACAAATTAGAGAAGAAAATAAAAAGATAGATGAAAGAATGAATAATAGCACGGCATGCTACTAGAGAAAGAGTTAGATGAAAGAGTATGAGAAGGATAAGGAAGAGAAAGATAAAAAAAAGATAGAAGAGTAATTCACCAGACAAAATATTTTATAGAGATTTTATGTTTTACAGGTTCAAGTAGCAGTAGCCGTGGTACCAAATGAGAAGACGGGAACACAAGGACAAGACTTATATAGTAGGTTACTATTTATTGTATTTTCTTGTTGTTTCAGTTTGTATGTAAGACCTTATTATAAATACGTGATTGTCCTGAGAATTTAAGTGTTTTAATTAGAATATGATTTCACAATTATAGATAAAACTCTTATTTTTTGATGTAAGAAAATTCGGATCATGGCCTCCTAAAAAGAATTTTGTTGGTGCAGAACCTTCAAGCCAATTTCACATTTGTGACCTCTAAATTGGTGTTTATTGCTTAAAAATCTTTAATATCTGTCTAAATCTTGAAAACTATAAAAGGACTTGTCAAAATTTTCAATTTTTTATTTAATAAATATAATATTATTATAAAAATAATAAAAAGAGAGGACAAACTAAAACACAATCAAATTTGATAAAAGGATTCCTTCTGCAAAACAAAAACCTTTTGGATAAGAAACATTTCTAGTTTTCTCAATAAGAAATTTTAGAATATACTATAAGTGATTACCCTTAAGTGACATTAACTCAAATTTTTTTCGTCACATTGTTTAACTACCAACTCACAAATCACTTCACCGATGTTCAAATGAATTTGCCCCTGAAAACGACACACTCCGTCGTAAAGACGCACTAGTGCGGCGACGGCGGCGTGGTTTATGAATATGAATGTTGGCGCCAAGTTAATCCGGTGGAAATGGAGGTGGACGGGCTCTTTATCTGGCTATCCGTTTATCTTTTCTTCTCACAGACGCCGCACCTTTTGCATCCAGCTACACTCCTGCAAATCTAACCCTCCATATCCATTTCGTTCACCCGACACTGGTTATTACAAGCCCAAAGCATTTTCGAATACTTTGTACGGTTACAATATCAGATTAACTGAGTTAGGTCGCCTTGGGAAAGTCCATGATGCTAGGAAACTGTTTGATGAAATGCCTCAACGAGACATTGTTTCATACGCTTCTATGATCACCGTCTACATAAAGAACAACGATCTCTTCAGCGCCGAAGCACTATTCCATACAATTCCAGAGAGAAATATTGTCGCTGATTCCGCAATGATTGATGCTTATACCAAAGCTGGCCGCATGGACGACGCTTGGAGAATCTTTGATCAAATGCCCCGCAGGAACGTCTACTCATGGACCAGTTTGATATCTGGGCTTTTTAGAAATGGACTTGTCAGTGAGGGACAGAAGCTGTTCGATGAAATGCCTGGTAAAAACGTGGTGTCCTGGACGTTGGTGCTCTTAGGTTATGCTCATAATGGTTTGATTGATCAAGCTCGGGCTATTTTTGATCAAACCCCCAATAAAAATGTGGTTGTGTGGACTGCCATGATCAAGGTATACATTGATAATCTCCAAACTGATGAGGCACTTAAACTTTTTAACTCCATGCCACTGCGTAATCTTTACTCATGGAACATAATGATTCAAGGTTGTTTCAATGACAACAGAACTAAAGAAGCTATTGACTTATTCACTTCCATGCCTAAAAGAAATCATGTTTCTTGGACTACAATGGTGACAGGCTTGGCACAAAATAGCTCTACAAATCTTGCCAGACAATACTTCAATCAGATGCCAAGAAAAGACATAGCTGCATGGAATGCAATGATAACTGCTTATACAAATGAAGGCCTGATGACTGAAGCCAATGAGCTTTTCCATACAATGCCTGAAAGGAATGTTGTGAGCTGGAATGCAATCATTGGTGGATATGCTAAAGCAGGTCCCAGAGGTGAGTCCTTCAAGCATCTAATCTTTCTACTTCATTCTCACATTAGGCCAAATGAGTGTACTCTCACTTCTGTGTTGACTTCATGTGAGGATTGCGTTGACTTATCACAAACTCATTCACTTGCAATACGATTAGGGCTTGAACATGAGATCTCACTTGCTAATTCTCTCATCACAATGTACGCCAAATGTGGAGATCTTGAATCTGCTAAACTTGCTTTTGATACTTTTCACACAAAGGACATAGTCTCATGGACAGCAATGATGCTAGCATATTCAACTCACGGATTTGGTCCTCATGCTATACAAATCTTTGGAAGAATGCTGCGATTAGGGTTTCAGCCAGATGAAATTACATTCTTAGCCCTGTTAACCGCATGTAGCCATACGGGTCTTGTTGATAAAGGATGGAAATTCTTTAACTCAATGATGCATGTTTACAATGTGGGACCAAAATCCGAGCACTATGCGTGTCTTGTTGACATTTTAGGTCGAGCTGGTCAACTAGACAAGGCTCTAAAAGTGGTTGACCAAATGCCTCATGATATGAGAGATGGTGTTGCTTTAGGAGCACTATTAGGTGCATGTAAGTTGCATGGTGATGATGAACTCGCAAGTGAAATAGGACAAAAGGTGATAGATTTTGAACCAAATGAATCAGGAGGGTATGTGTTATTGGCAAATGTTTTTGCAGCATCTGGGAGATGGGAGGAAGTTGCTAAAGTGAGGAGGGAGATGAAGGGTAAAGTGAGTAGTAAATTGCCAGGGTTTAGTCAGGTGTATGTTAAGGGGTGCAATTATGTATTTTTTGTGGGGGATCGATCTCACACTAACTTTGATGAAATCAATGAGATGTTAAGAGACAAGATTCTACCAGAAATGAAACTGATGTCTAAATGTTATTTTGTGGAGGATTTAATGTGAAATTTAAACAAGGTTTGAGGATTTAATATGAAATTAAGGATCTTGATGGTCTAGTATAATTGATTAAGTCCCACCATGAACTTGTCTGATTAAGTTATTACCATTTGTCAATATTGGTGAGTAAAATTAAGACAAGGTAACGGACAAAAGTAGGGAGGGGGGAATCTGTTCGTGAAAGATGCCTAAATTGACATGCCATAAAGACAAACACTATTAAATTAAACCCCTCCCTTCCCCTTTTATACCATGCCAATCATACTACCACTAATATATATATATATATATATATATATATATATATATATATATATATATATATATATATATATATATATATATATATATATATATATATATATATATATATATATATAAACTGAGAACCCTTTCTAGACCATAAGATCAAAAAAACTATGGTTTAGATCAGATGTGGCATAATTGTTATTATGAACAATATTGATGGTGTCTTATGTTTTTAATGATCACCATAGGGGTATGTAATTATAAAAGCGTCACACAAACTATAATTCTTCAAATCAATTTCCAAAATATTATTACATCGTCTAACGATTCAACCAAACAAAAATTGCATGTTTACAAATAGCTTTGTAGACATACGATATGAAAATTTTCCAATAAACAAAAACAACTACGATAAGGATGGAGAAAAGGCAAAATGTATACATCCGTGTTTGTTCTATGAATTTTGAAACAACTTTGTAACAATATTATTCATACTTTTTTATATAATATGATTGTGGTACAAAACACAAAAACAAACTTTTTGAATCTCCAACACACCGAATCCTTTTGCTTTTTATTGGATTTGTGTGGTCCATCAAACTTCCATTTATTGCATTTTCCTTTGTTGTTAGAGTTTGTTGTCTTTTCTTTAACCATGTGAAGAGATGTCTATCCAATTAAATTTTACCTTTACTTTTGTCATTTTCTTTTACTCCAAAAATTCTCCAATGAGCAAATGACACTAAACAAATGAGAATTTTTTTTTTCTTTTCTTTACTTTTTTTTATTTATGTGTGTGTGTGTTTCAATGTACGGCTGTATCTTTCCAAGGGGGAGGTAATTTACCAATCACACTAGACACAAAAATGGATTAATCCATGTTCATTTTCTGCAGTGTGAATTGATCCAAAATGCAAATGACTTCACTAAATTGTTTCACTGCCTTTGATCAATCATCTTATAATTATTAAAATCGATTACCAAAAACTTCTGTGAAGAAACAAAATCTTCAAATATATATTTTGATTCAAGGTAATTTCACAATCTCTTCGTACTTTTTACATTTTAGTAAATATTGGATAAGGAATTAGATATATCGTTTATAATATGTCCTCAGTATGTGTAATCATCTTTCTACCACATACTCATCCTCCTTATATATTGCATTGTTTATAATATGTCATGTGTATGTGTAATCATCTTTCTACCACATACTCATCCTCCTTACATATTGCATTGTCTCGTCTTCCACAATTTCTAGCATTGGGGTAGACTAGACATACCACTTTTATATTTTTAAACAAAAAGCGCATCTTATATGCGGGCGTTAGGTATCAGTGTCTTTGAACTTTTCCAACTTCGCAAACTTTAAAGTCAAATCATTGATAAATTCGGCCTTAATTACCAACAGATATATCAATATAATTGTTAGAAAATAGGATTCAATAACATGGGTTTGGTAGATAAGAATCTGGATATCACATGGGTTGTGGAGTCACTTTTGGTATTGATATTTTTTTGCTATGTATGTGATATTAAAAAAAAATTGCTACGTATGTGATACTGAGACATTCAATGTGGGACAATAGATTAGGACTCTTGTGTTTTTGGTACAAAGCTTTGAAAAGCTTTTGGTACAAAACACAAAGCAATATAGGTTGTTAGATTAGGTAAGAAAGTCTTGGGATTAGTTGCCAACTTGGATTTTTCTATCTAAATAGGCTTGGAAATTCCTTCTTTGAGTTGCCATTTTGTGATAATGGTATGGCGTCAGTGAACCGTTTATTTTTCTCGTGTTCGGTTGCTTTGGCCATTATGGACCGAGTTTTGTGTTGGCGGGTTATAGATGATCATGTTTTTTTTTTTTTTTTTGAATTGGTTTACTTGGTTTAAAGGTCTTTGAATTCGGAAGGTTGTTAAGGAGTTCTTGGAGGCGGTTTTCCTTGTTATAGAGTAGCACATTTTGGGTTTTTAAGAACAAAGTTCTTTTTTCTTAAATTCAACCGAAGAGAGTTTTTATTTTTATAATATTGTCATGCAAGCGTATTTTTGGTGTCGAAATAGGTATAAGAGGTCGTTTGGTTAAGTTGATTGAGATCAAAAACTTATGTCGATTATTTTGTAATGGTTTGGTTGTTTAGAACTAGCTACTTGCTAGATTTGTTTTACTAAAATCTTTTTCATTATGTAAAAAGAATTATAAGAGAAATATGAGTATATATGTATTCATCTGTGTCTGGAAATTTGATTAGGTTTATGAAAATTTTTGAAAAAAAAAACTATCCAGCTTGAGTTGCTGGTAAAATTACTCAAACAACCAACTTCGCTCGAAGTTGTCTAAATAGCTTGGATTGTCGAGACAACTTGGTTCTAGGTTGCCTAGGCAGCGTGGGCTAGTAGGCAGCTTGGTTGTTAATAGTTTTGGCGGTTAGGCGGCTTGAATTGTGTCTCCTGATGAGACCTAAATTCACCTATTTCTTTAACTTTACTTCTATTTGAACATGTTTTCTATATCACTTTAAGTGGTTATGTCCTTTGGATCCCGCAAAAACGCTTTCCATGACCCCTACATTTTGATATGTTCGAGGTTAAAATCGTCTTATATACAAATATACATTCCACACCATTTAATTTGTATTAAATCAAAGATTTTATCCTCGATAATCATATTAATTCTAATTACATAAAAAGATCAATACCACTAAAATCACGGACATTAGTGATTTAAATGATAAATCAAATCATTGCTAAGATATCACAAGTAGTTATTTTAATAATAGTTCAATGGTCAAAGCTCTTAAATGAATTTTTTATGTAAATTTATCTCTTATAAGAAATTTTATATAATAAGTTTTTGTTAAATATCATTCGTACATCCTCCTTACCCCCCCCCCCCCCCCCCCCCCCTCTTTCCTCTCCAATAATAGAGTTTTTGGTAACATTCATAAATGATTTTGTTGCTATTATAAATGTTACACTTTTTAGCCTAGTCTTGCTATCTATTTGACCCAAAGGGCAAAGGCTAAAACACATTGTTGGGTACATCACTGTATTGGTCAAAGTAGTGTTTGATTTGACAAATTTTTTATTTCATCAACATTTTATAAATACATATATCATTTAATTTAATAATTCAATATTATTAAATTGTAAACGAATAAATTATTGCATTTAGAAAATTCTTTATCACAAATTTTTTATCAACATTTAAATTTATAAGTTTTATTTTTCACAGTTAATTTTTAGACTATAAGAAATAATCAATTGAGAAAAATAAATAAAGAAATAAAGAAAAAGCAGAAAGTAAAAAAAGGAAGAGGGAGTGCTATTTATTTATGCCTAAAATAGAAACAAAATTTACAAAAGAATATGGTTTTATTTGGTAAGAATAATAATAAAAACAGCAGCAAATTACGATTATACAAATTGATATAATAAATTATAAAATTGATGGAAGCATTTTAACCCAGGTGAAGTTGATTATGAACCACCATTGGTGCGTGGACTTTCTTTCTTTCTTACAGGAGTTAAAGAGGAAGGCGAAGAAGACGCAACAGGCCTGATCTACAACCGTCTGCTTCTTCTCGTTGAGTTCGTTTCCTTCAGATTCAGTAATTTTTTCGAAATCTCGTTGATTCGATACAACAACTTACGACGTCGACGTCTCAGGCCGGTATGTCGCCTCTTCATTGTCTTCTCCATTTGATTTCTTCGTTAATCGTAGAGCTATATCGTTAATAGCAGCATACCTAGATATCTTCAAGTGATATGGATTTTCACGAAACTAGCTAAACTCCGTCCACTACACTTCAACCCTAACTGAGTGTCTGATTGTGTTATTTGTATACGAGCTCGATTTTCGGAGATGCACTTCCGTAATCATACACGTTCTTTTATTTTCTGAAGGTGTAGAGGTCGATGAGGAGTCCTTTGTATTGCAAGAAGTGGTCTATTGTTGATCTTCATTTCCAGTTTTTAAGGTGTTTTAGGCATTGTCACTGTTGTTTGTTAGCTTTACACATTTCTGCCTGGTTTATAAATGAAACTTGTGTGGTTGATAAGTTTTAGTTATGAAAGGGTTTTAGAGGTGGATTGAAGTTAATACTTGGAATGGAAGAATGTTAGTTGTTGATATGTATCTAATTTTTAACCCTCTTTCATGGAGAGAGAGCCTTGTACAACACTATGACCTAGTTATGCAATAAGTTGGTGGAATTGTTTGATCTAAATTCTGTGTGACTGATTTTGAATTTGATGAGTGAGTTTTGTTGTTGATTACAGGGTGGTTATGGTTCAATTGTAGGTTTGAAAAGCACAGTATGTCTTGATTATCTATCCATCATCATGGACATGGTGAATGGAAGTAATAGTATGAACAACAACAACAATAATAGCAGCAGCCAGAGTCTAGCCTCTAAGCAACGACTTCGTTGGACACATGAGCTTCATGAACGTTTTGTTGATGCTGTGGCACAACTTGGTGGCCCAGATAGTGAGTCATTTACATCTTCATCTTCTTGAAAATTTTGCCTTTCTTTATCAGCTAGCTATGTACAGAATTTATGGAAAGACCAAAGGTTATGTTGTTGAGAGGAATCTTTTTCTTTTCCTTTTTATCAGGAGCTACTCCAAAAGGTGTACTGAGAGTTATGGGTGTGCAAGGTCTCACAATTTATCATGTAAAGAGCCATTTACAGGTAAGTGGAAATGTTTACAGATACAGATATGATTGCATACTTGCATTTGTAATGGTGTTTTTTTTTTTTTTTTTTTTTTTTTGGTTGACATCTATCTATGTGTATGTAACGGTAACTGTAAGTGTTGTTTATACAGAAATATCGGCTTGCAAAGTATCTCCCTGACTCATCTTCTGAAGGTATATATAATATATCCAGTTAAACCAAGCTGTTGACAAATGTGATAAGTGGATGCTGATTATGTTGGTGAAACTAATATGAATATGATATATGGTATTGGTATTGGTATTGGTAGGAAAAACATTTGACCAGAAGGAATCGGGTGATATGGTTTCCAGTTTGGATGGGTCATCGTTAGTATTATTCTCCTCCTCTCCTGTTTTGTTTCAATTCCAGCAATCACTTGTGTAGTGAATTAAATATTAGGTATTTTTTGTTTTTTGTTTGTTTATAAAAACAGTGGTATGCAAATCACAGAAGCACTGAAACTGCAGATGGAGGTGCAAAAGCGACTGCATGAGCAATTGGAGGTGGTTATATTTTCTTTTCTATAAATGTATTATTTGATGGTTTTTGTGAAGTGAAGATTAGTAAAATGTGGTGGTTGTGGTTGTGTGTATGATACATTATTTACAGGTGCAAAGACAACTTCAGTTACGGATAGAAGCTCAAGGGAAGTACCTCAAGAAGATAATCGAAGAGCAACAGAAACTTGGTGGTGTTGCTGGTGGTGGTGGTGTAGACCCACAAGAATCTGATAATAATAATAATCAAACTCAACCTGCAAACAGCATTTCCATGGATGAACCATTAACGCCTGATGATGAGTCATCAGGTGGTGGTGAGAGCCCAAAAGAGGATCAAGAGAGGTCATTGAAGAAGAGACGAGTCAACATGGATGCAGCAGTTAAACCAGGAACAGCTTTGGGGCTGAACCACCAGATACTGGAGTCCAGCTTCACCACCACCACCACCACCAGGCCACCATACCAGCATCACCAACAACAACAATCAGGATCTTTCCAGTTTGGTACTTCATCAATTGACAATCAACAAGATTAGGTCGGTAGGGCCAATTTAAGATTGATTCATGTAATGTTAATGTGTGTCAAAAGGGGCTTCTTTTTTCTTTTTTTCTAAAAAGAATGGAGATGATGGATTCATATGTTTGGAGTAGGACTTTTTGTATTGTACTACCACTGCATTTTTTTTTTCAAAAAAAAAAAAAAAGGTTTAATTTATAATTTGGTCTCTTTTTTGACTAGTTGTTACACAAGAACAGAAATACAAATTTGCAAATGGTACGTTACATGTTTACATATGACATACTACACATGTTAGTTAGAAAAGCTAGGGAGTGGGAGTGGGAGTGGGAGTGGGACCTACAAAGAATACAACATATGATAGAGTATAATCAATTCAAGATGAATGATTCCTCCTATGCCTGACACGTTTCAAAATACAGAGTCGCAGGCGCTGACTAAGGGCCTCTAGTTTTTCCAGCTTTTCACGTCCAGATGATTTCTTTACTACTTTCTTCTTTTCTTCAGCTTCAGCTCCAGCTGCATGTTTATGTTTACTCGTCGTTCGAAGTGGTGTTGCAAGCACCTTCAACCTTACCTACAACAATTCAACAATCATCAAAATCATGTTTCTCTGTGTGTGTGTGTGTGTGTGAGAGAGAGAGAGAGAGGGAGGGAGGGAGAAGCAACCAGGTGATTGTCGTTGGATGATGTTGAGCAATCTGGAAAAGGTTCAACATCACTCCCCAAAGAGGAGCATCTTCCCCAGCTCTCTCTATTTGAGCTTGTATACGAACAAGACTCCTGCAATTGTGGTTGTGCTGCTTCCGTATTTACATCGTTCGCCTTCTGCACACATGACATGACATGAGGATAACAACAAATTATTACAATTTACAAAATGAATGATTTTAAAGGTTAAAGAAGAGTCGTGATGAGTTACTTTAAAAAGCGGGGGGCATAATTCCAGTTCCATGAAGATAATCCTCAACCGAATCCGTGGTTAAAATGGTAGGTGGGGCAGATGAAGTGCTTGCACTGCCACTCTCCAACCCTTGCCCTTTCCCCCCCGATTATCTCATACAATAAACTCTGATCACAACACCACAAATGTTTATTATACACTTTATATATATATCATAAACAAGAGAAATAAAAAGTTATTAAGTTTAAACTACCTCTTCTATACCAGCAGCATCAACTTGAAGATCTCCCAAATCATAATACTTCTCATATTTTGTTGAACATGATGGTGATAACTGAGGAGGGTGAAGGACATTGTGAAAGAATATGGAGACCGAGTCATAGTAAAACTGTGGCCTAGATGAGTTGTGATCCCCATCAAACTTTATCACATTTTTATCTCCCTAAAATCATCATCATATGTCAAAATGTATATATATATATATATATTATTTTTCTTTTATTTTTTTAATAACTAAAATGAAGATAGATACTAAAGGATATGTTCATACTGCATAGGAGTTAGAAATGAGGTCAGAGTGGTGGGGTTGTATAAACTTGTCCCCTTTTGCATGTCCAAATAAAGCAGGAATAAATGTTTTTGGTGCAACCTTCAATGCATTTATATCCATAATATCAAATTTTGCCTTCTTCTGAATCACTCTACGCATGTATTGCAGAGCTACTTTCACCTGTCAATAAATTTAATTTTAATTATATGATTATTAAAAACAATAAATCACATTCATATGCACAAGAAACATTAGCCTACCGTGAATTTAGGAAGCCGAATTTTGTACACATCAACAAGTTCCATCATTAGATTAAATAAATTAGAAAAAGCACTATCCAACACCATTCCAGCTATAGAAGGGTCCTCAGCTCCATACAGTAAGCTACACTCAGTCAGGGACAAAAAGGTAATTTACTCTTAAAGATTTTCAACAATACAATAATAAAGATTAAAGAGTACCTGGTAACTGCACCCATAGAGCGCCCCCATAGACCAATACGAGATATTTGTTCGTTGCTTCTTAGATATGACACAACAACCTTCAAGTCATCACTCTGAAATTAAATTAACAAACACATATATTTATATAGAAAAAAAAATAGAGAATATAGTAAAGAAAGAAATACAAGAATGGAGAGTGTATAATTAAAATATACCTCATGCCAACCAAGGCTGACATAATTACCATCAGATAACCCTGAACCCGAAAAATCAAGAGTGAAAACAGTAATATTTGATGGTAGAAGAATCACAGCAGCCTCATTTGCATCCGCCCTGCATCCACTACACGAGTGGGTCCCACAGATAAGAAATAAGTTTCTTATATACATTTAATTAAATTCAAAGACAAAAACCTGTTTCCATGGCAGTATATGACACAAGGAAGAGAGGTATTATCTGGGAAGACTGAAGGCATGTAATGGCTACACCTCAATATATGCCCTCTACCATTTCTGAGCTGAAATTTAAATAATAATAATAATATGATTCAGAAAGTTTATGGTAATTTTTGCTAAACTTAAATCCCAATAATTAATATAATGCAAGTAAGTTGTGGATATATCATATTATATATATGCATATGTCCATACTTGCCTCAAGGTCTTGTCTTTTGTATTTCCTTCCAGCAAGAGTGAAGTCTTTCTCCCATAAATACTGGTCAGGATTATAATCAGCTCTGTTTCATCAACATCATCAATTGCTATTCAGTCATAATATTTGTGCAGAATTATCTTTTTAAATAACAGTTCCATGAATGTGTTGGTCTTGTTCAACCATGGCCTTTTGTAACATCCTCAAATTTTATGATGATAAAGAACTTGTTAAGTTAAGTAAGCATGATTTGAAGCCAAAGTATTAAGTATAAGCTTAAAAAGCTGGTGAAAGTAAGGAATAGGAAAAAGGTAATGAATTTGTTGACAAGGGTGTATCTATGCATGTATCAGGGACTAGATGCGCTGTGATTGCCTTGAGTTTTTTATTCAAGGTAAGTGCTATTGCTGTTTTTCATTGTCAAATGTTGACAAGGGTGTTACCCTTTTAATATTTAGTACCTTGACAATTGTTATATTCTTAATCAGCATGGTACCTGTCTATGGAATATATCTAACCTAAAGTAGGAGGTTCAGATTATATATATATATATATATATATATATATATATATATATATATATATATATATATATATATATATATATATATATATATATATATATAACCATTGACAGGATCAGAAGTCAGTAAGCATCAGATCTGGTATATATTTCTTGTACTTCATTGTGAGGTTAAACTTCCATTTATATACAAACTATAAATACTATATCTAAGAGAATTCTGCAAGCATTATATGGGATGATATTGTTATTGCAGAAGATAACAGAGAAGGAATTGTTGCTCTAAACTGTTTCATTCAGAAAGCATGAAACATTGGTTTTATCAAGAAGATAATTTGAGGAAGGATGTTGCTTACTACTGACTTTTGTTTAAGAAAAACTGAGTAGGGTTTCTTCAAAACAAGCAGGAAAGGATAGAACTAACAGCTATTAAGGTTTTTTCAGAAGGAAGTGAAGGAATGACCATAAAGAGTTGCTTATGAAGGGCTTTGGGTTAGTTTGGGGAGTTCGTAAGATGATAAAAGAAACTCCCAAGAACAGATCTGCAATGTCATGGATACGAAGCTACACATAGTGAAGTATACCAATCCGTTTTACATATCTTATGCTATGTTTGGCAAATAATTATCGATACCTAATATGCTTCCAAAAAGATGTGGAACAAAGTTCTTAAAATAAAGTAAAACATAATCATGAGTCAAAACGGAAAGCGTATCCATACCTGGGAGGTCGAATGACAAAATTGATGAACTGATCAATCATATCGTCGGAAAGTTAAGGCGGAGAGTAGTATAGAACCACTCCGCCCAATGAACAAGGGCGGAGGACGAATGCTCCCTTTGACCCACCACGAAACCTAGCAGGAACTCAGATGCGTGTGTATCTAGGGATCATTTGGGCGTAGTATTTGAAGATGAGTGACACAATTTCCGGTGCAAACGTCTGTAATGAAGGATTTTGTGGGAGAGCGAGGGTAGACGATGAGTAATCCGATTGTGGAAGTACAGCAAGAATGACCATTGGACTGTTAATTTGGGAAGGGAAATACGACCATGTGGCCCATGTTCTGTTATAAGTAAGTAATTTCATTAAAGTTATGCCAACTCGATTATCCAGAAACTTAAAAGAGTAAACAACAAAAGTACAATACAGGTTTATTTCATTCATTACTTTTCATATTTTTGGTTTAATTTTTATTTTTTTTGGATAATGCCAAACATGACTATCTGACTATATGATGATAAAAATACAGAAAGGTAAATCAATTTTTATCCATTTATGAAAGTGAATATCAATTCTGAAATAGGTATTTTGGATTTCAATGATGTATTTTTAATATATAATGTATATTTTTTTAATTTGCATTAAATATATTTCAAAAAAATTATTCTGACTCCCAAATATAAATAGAAATATCATCATTTTCTCAACTAAATGACATTTTTTATGCCTTCATCATTGTCTACTTCATTTTGCTCCTGTTTTTTTAACTTTTTGTTAGATACCGACAAAAACAAAAAATTTCTTTAAATTTGAGATTTTGAACTTGTTTTTGAAATTTTAAATTACATTTTTTATGTCCATAAACTAGCTCTTGATTTACTAAAGCTCTTTAAATGTCATGAGTTTGATTCATTAAGTCGGATTGAAACATAATTGCCGATGATCTATGTTTAGTAAAACATTGGTGAGAATTTGAAGCTTGTTTGACTTTTATGGAATTTAATAGAATTTTATTGTTCAAAACTTTGGATCATCACACTTGAGCCATAAATCCTTGTGTAATTATATTTTCAAAAGAATAGTAACATATTTAGAATGTCATTTGATTCAACAGAAGCCATTTAGGAACAATATGGATGATCTATTAAATCAAACGAAGTTCATGGTTTAACTTGGAAGGTTGATACCTTGTGTGTGCTTATTTAAGCTTCTAAGGCATTAACTCGTTTAAATCATCATGTTATGAATTAGTTGTTGGATTAAGATGTTTAAACCAATAACTAAATTGGTATATTCTTGTATTAGAGACAAAGTCATTTTTGGGTAACCTTCATAACCGATAACCGGATAAAATGATTTTTAGACTGATTTGCTAATTTATTATATGGTTAATAAATTGAAACACATGATTTACTAATTTATTAAATGATTAATATGTTAATTAGAAATGGTAATAATTAATTCGGAATTAATTGGAACAAATTTTGAGATTGACTGGATTAATTAAAAGTATAAGGAGTAGGGACTAAGGTTGTCATTGTCCAAAAGATGAACAAATGAAAGCTTCCAGAACCTTCCCAATAGGGAAGATTTTGGAGGAACCCAATTAGGGTTTCTGGAAGCCTCCTGGTGATAATGACATTAGAAGTTATATCCCCCAGTGTTTGACACCCCTCGAACTTTGGAAGTCATATCCCCCAGGGTCTGACACCCCGTCATGCTCAGTAGCTCACTTGCCAATGGCTGAGCTGTAACAGTTAGAACTTCCTCTGTCCCTAAACCGGGTCACAAACTCCTCCCCGAAACTTCTCAGATTCTCTAAGACTCTCACCGATTCGATTATGGATCATGTGTTTTCAGTAGTACGGGCCCAATACTACCTTCCACACATATCCATACTTTCCTCAGCAATCCTCCTGACTCCTCCAAGTCACTTCCTCAAATTGGTGCACCCAAGTATCACTAAACCTCACTACTAACCTACTAAAACTTATCCTAGGCTTACCTCGGTTCCTGAACCCACCCAATCCTCAGCTTCCGAAAGATTCCCAGTAATGTCAACTAGCTACCTTATGAATATAACCACATGCAACGGAGATCAAATAATCATTCGAGTAAAAGACTCGTCTTGTAACACCTGGTTCGGTATTGGTTGGAAAGTTGCCAATTTTGGAAGGTTTTATGCATGGACTCGGCGAGTTGGGAGATCAACTTGTCGAGTAGGGTCGTGACATCTTGGACGCGGGTCGGAACTAACTCAGAGAGTCGGAAGGCCCAACTCGGCAAGTCAGATCTGTTTAGAGAGAACCCTAGTTTCGGGTTTGCCCCCTATATAAACATCATTATAAACCCTAGTAGCCTCCCTTAACACCATAGAAGAACTTTCACGGCCGCAAACCCTCTAGTGTGTGAAATAAGATCAATAAGGAGCTTATCTTTGAGATTTTGGGGAGGATTCCAAGTTTGAAGAGGAAGTATCAAGGGAGAAGTATTAGATCAGGCATCTATTTCGTGTTGGGCATCTGTCTGAGGTATTAATCTACTACCTTAAGCCTTGATTTCTTTTTGGAAGTTATGGCCAACCTTAAGGAGATGGAAGCAAACTTAGATCTGGACCTATCACAAGGATATGATTCCAGATTTGGGCCTCCTTAGGTCCCAAATATCATAAAGTTACACCTTTTATTAAGCTTATTCCCTCTCCATGCATGAAAACCTTGTTTGAAGGTTAGTTTTGGTGTTATGGCCATGTGAGGTCTTGCATGCACGTAAAGTTTGCTACTTTATGTGTTATCTACACTAGTAGAGGATAGATATGAAGTTTGGGACCTTGAGTCCCACTGGAAAGGGTCGTAAACATAATGGACTAAGGGGACTCGGTGAGTCGTGCAAGTGACTCAACGAGTCGAGAGGGTTTTCCCGTTCACGGCCAAGGGTTCACAGTCAAGGGTGTTTGGTTGGAAGTTTACGGCTGTAAACATCAAGGAACTCGACGAGTATCTCGAGTGACTCGGCAAGTCAATGAGTTAAGCAAGGAACCCGATGAGTGGCTGATAGCACTCGACAAGTCAAGGTCAATATGGATTGTTGACCTTCACTACAAACCTAAACTTTGACCAGGTTTGACTCAGAGGAGCATTAGGAGCCGAGTTAAGATTATTTACTTGTTGGTTATAGGCAGTTTGGGAGGAGTAGTGTAGGACATACCTGATTTCAGTTGTCGGTTCAGCTTTGTGAGGTGAGTTTTCTCACCATACCAATGGGTCTAAGGCACCAAGGCCGACCCATTTTACGTTAGTTGGTTTACTTGTTATGTACAGGTGTGATATGTATGTATGATATGCGGTAGAGATAGCCTATGTGGCTAATGGTAGAGATAGCCTTATGGCTAATGGTAGAGACAACCTTTATGGTTGATGGTAGAGATAGCCTTGTGGCTAACGGTAGAGATAGCCCTTATGTCTAACGGTAGAGATAGCTTCATAGCTAATTGACATGTGATATGTGGTAGAGGTAGCTACTATAGCTAATCGATATGTGTTATGTGGTAGAGATAGCTTTTATAGCTAATGTGATATGTGGTTTGTGTGGGGTATGCTCTCGAGGACTCACTAAGCTTTCAGCTTACTGTCTATGGATTTGTTTCAGGTACATCGGAGACCAAAGGCTAAGGAAAGGCGTGATGATGCGGCGTGCACTCTGTCTCTCTTTTCTGATATGGTTTGGGGGAGACTCTGATGTTTTGAAAATAATAATGTTGTAATGTTGGTGATTTTGAAAACAATTATTGGGATTTTCATGATTCATTCAATATAGTTGACTAATTCAAAATGAAAATTTTCTTTGAAAATTTGGGTCGTTACAAGTTGGTATCAGAGCCTTGGTTTGAGGGATTTAAGCACACTCTCGGATGTGTCAGGACTCAAACTAAGGAAATGATAAAATTGTTTTTAAAAAAATGACATAAAAAGCTTTTGAAAGAAGAAAAATATGAGAGTGCAACGCGCGTGATCAGCCGAGCCAAGTAAGTAGTTCCCCAATGTGCTAGCCATGTTATTCTTGTTGGATTAGTGTCTAAGTCCATAACTATTTTGGTATGTACTTGACCCGATGGTGCATGGTCCTTTTAGGTTGCCTTCACCAAAGCAACTTGATAGGATGAATTATGGAGAGTAAGGATTAAATATGATTTATTAATATATTATGGGAATAATATATTAAAGGAGAAATCATATTGTTTAATTAATATTAGTCAATAATTAATTGGTAATTAGTTTTGTGACTAAAAGAGATTAATTAAACTTAAGGGACTGGAATTGTAATTATAAGATAATTGCAATTTGGGCCATGGATTGCCTTGTATTAAGGGATGGACGAATTCTAATGGGAAACCCATAAGGAAATCGTCCATGGGCTTAATTAAAGGAGTCTATGGGTTGCTTAGGGCTTAAGCATCCAAATTAGGGTTTCCTTGTTAGATAACCCTAATAGCCCAACTATATAAAGACCCCTTAAGGCTCAAAAACGTGGCTAAGCTTCTTGTAAGGGTTTCTACACGTTTTTGGCAGCCTCCATCCTTTCTCCTCTTCATCCTCTTGCTTATGGTGTTTGTGAACCATTAGAGGAGTGACACTTGTGACTCTAAGCATTCCAAAGTCAATACAAGGAGATTTGGGATTGTTATTGCTACATAACAATCAAGGTAACATTATAAACTTATTCTATGTTAATATGATTACTTGATGCTAGAATTAGGGTTTATAGTCTTGGATTCAAATGTACAATAGAGAAACCTAGATCCAAGCATTAGGGTTTGTATGAGCACATAGGATGTCTTATGACCAAAACCCATCAGTGGTATCAGAGACTAGATTGGTTTCAATTGTATTGATGCATATTTGATCGAAATAAGCACTGAAAATCGATTTTTTGAGTTTCTGAATGTTTGACTCGCCGAGTCACTTGGTGAACTCGCCGAGTCAGCTGTACTCGACGAGTCCAGGTCCAGACTCGACGAGTCAAAGGGTCTGACAGCTCAGATTCGCGATTTTTTCCTGTTTGGTTTTGGATAATTACCATAAACTTGTTTTTGTGATAAAATCCGAATTTTTTCATTATTATGTGATTATCCTTACCAAAATAGAAGATAATTGTCAAAAATTTAGATAATCACTTGTTTTATTAGATAAAGTTTGATTATTTGTAATTTAGATTTGAATTATTTATGAAATAGTTTCTAT